ATCAAAAATCTTATTTGTAGCTTTAATACCTATTGAAAATTAATAAAAAATTGCATAAAATATACTAGACCTCAAAATTAACTCGAACTTGACGAGTCGAGTTTTTTCGAGTACTCGCACAGCCCAAATTAAGATAAGTCAAAGAATACGTGTGAATTTTTTCATAATTTTTTAAAGACTTTTTGAAAAATGAGTACATAAAATAAACGAAACATTTTCAACCATTGGCATCATCTAAACCTTTTTTAGATCTTTAATAGCTGAGATACATACATCATACATCCTTATTAGAACAACGGAGAAAAAATCGTACACATACAGTATTTTTTATCCATTTAACCATGCCACTAAAGGGAAGAACATCGAATTAGTCATAAATAGTCTAAAATATGAGCAATTGAAAATTGACCAAATTTCGATGAACATTTTTGTTACGATAATTTGGTTGCGCAGTGTATAAATGTTTGAGGTAGCTTATGATGACTAAAGCACATCCACTTTCACACTTAAAAAAACAAATACACGTTCAAACACAAACACACACACCTACATACTCCTAATTCCGTTAATGATCGATTATACATTATATATTGATATAGATTTTGATGGATTATTGGATATATTCCTAATTGGAAATTTCTTCTTGTCTGTCACTTTTTACTCGTTATTATTTTTTGAAAAGTCATAGACTTTTTGACGAAAGTACTCTCATTCCAAATTTAAAATTTTTACGTTATTGTCTTTTTCAATTTGCTAGGCCTTCAAGAGTGTTATGTTAGAATTTTACGTTAATGCAAGTAAAATTAACAGAGATGTAACCATTTTAATTCAAGTATGTTGTACTCGTTTTTCAGCCCTGATCATATACTTCACTTTGGGTAGCCATTTGGGCTTTGATATCAGAATGTCGAGCATTAAGAATTCAACAGCAAAAATATATTCTAGAGATATTCATCAGATATTCTAGATGATAGTCTAGCCCCTTGATTGCATAAACCGGCACATACGATGTAAGAAGATATGATAAAATTCACGTTTTTTGCTTGAAAATCCTCGAATGCGTTTCCTGAACAATCGCATTTATTGAGTCGGTGTACATCATTACTCCAAAACTACTGAACCGATCGTTCTGAAATTTTATCCACTTCTTTTAATAGCATTTTACTAGGTACTGACGTCGAGATATTTTCTTTTTTTCAAAATTTTTATTTTTATAAACCATTTTCCCATAAAAAAACATATATTTTTTTTCAATTTTTTGACTTCAAATTAATACCAAATTTTTAAAAATGAATATAATTGAAAAACTCTACGTCACTACCTCCGGAATCGTTTAAATTTTATAAAATTTTTGATTTATTTGTTTTGGACAATTCTATCATAAGTTATCATATATATCGTGGTTTTTGAGGTGTAAGCTTCAAGTGCTTGCCACAGGCTAATTTTTTAATATTTTGCAATGAAAATTTAATGGAATACTCTTGAAGTGTTATTCTTTAGTATGTATTTTAGACTTATTAGCTTATTTTTACAGTATTTCTAAAAAAAGATCTTAAAATCATGAGAAATTAATAAAAAAATTAACTGTACTCCTCCTCCCCCATTTAAATATCCATCATTTCTACAAAGTATCATAGTCGCGAGCCACCGTGTACACATTACATATGTGACACTTATCACAAGATGATCGAATTGATCTGTATACATTTTAATATACATAAAGAAGGCACGCGCGCGTCGGTGTACATATTCCAAAAAGATCTCCGAGAAAGATATATCGGTTTTTCCCTTGCGAAGTAAAGTTGATTTATCATATTTTTGTATATTGCAACGCGCCATTCGAAATTATAAACGCTTTTTGTTGCGTCGTTCGCTCGCTAACAATTGCAGCGAGTCTTGTTTGATGATTTCCACGAAATCGGGTCCCAAAGCTCCGAGGCTAGGTATTATTATATACACTAAATAATGCATCGTTTGACTTTATCACCTGACACTTTCGCACTCGCGCTGCCTCGCTTATCTTGTGTGCAAACTGACTCTCTATGCACACATATACACATATACATGTACAGACGCAACGACCAATTCAACTTGCTTCTTTTCTTTTCTTTAGATTTTTTTTGTCTTCCTCTCAGCTACTTTAACTTTTTTTTTATTATTTTGAACCACTTCGTAAAATTGACCTAATCGTTTCTCGCGAGCATAAGCTTTTGTCATTTCCGCGACTACGTAGCAACAGCAGTAACAGCAGTGTTATATAGTAGAACTCAATCCATCCTGAGAACACCGGAAGTGTTGCTTTTTTGTATTATTATTTTTATATTGTACTCGTGCGAGAGGCCTCGTGTATAGGACTTATTGGGCCAATCTTTGATACATACTGTAATAACGCAGGAGGGAACAACTAAGTAAGATGTTGCGTGCATTACTTGCGAATTTTTTTTCTTGAAATTCACGTACTTCTTATTAAATGTTTGTTTCTCCCTGCTCGTATGTGAAGGTAAATATTTTTACCTGAATCGAAACGATAAATCAAAATTGAAAATCATCGAAATACGCTTATGATTTTATAGTTTCTAATTATCGTTAATATTATTTACAAAAAAACTCACGAATTCAGTTCGAGAGAGTACACACATGGCAAAGTTGGTGTCTTGCTGCTTTCCATTCGCCATAAGCGAAAGTGAGATGCTCTTTTTGTTCTACGAATAATCATATTATTGAAAAACAATTAAAACAGGTTAAAAAAATTAATTGGGAAAAGTTTAAAATGGTTCGAGGATTTCGACGGATCAAATTAGCTACTCAAAGCAACGGAGATAGCATGACGTTTTTCTAATTTATCCACTCCAGATACACTCAAAATGCCATTAGATCCATTTCGCAAGTCGTGAATTCAAATATTTTTCAGAATAAATAGAAAAAAAGGGCTTTCTTCTCATCTCGATCACAAACATTTGAAATGATAATATGATAGTTCTATTGAAAAAGGCATCACGCTTGAAATTAATATTGAAATGAAGAAAAAAAAACTTGTTCTTCGAAGGACTTTTTTTACTTCTCTTGAGGGTTGTTGTTGACTAAATTCAATGTCGTTGTATTGAGGCAGGAAAAAAATAACAGCCGGAAGTCATCTACTCTCATATTGAATAGGTATCAAAGCGTAAAGATTTATATTATATACATATTATAAAAAGTATTAAATGTGAGGCAATAAATATCACACCTGCTGCTACTGTTTTTTCTTCTCGAGAAATAAAAAATACCTGTGTGTACAAGTTTTTTTTTTAAGATTTAACTATGAACTAAAATAAGTTCGTAAAAGAATCACATTTCGGCGTAAGATTTTTTTCTCCGAGCACCATTCAATGCTTTTTACATGTATTTGGAGAAAGAGCCATTGTTTTTCTCAAATAACTAATATATAAGCCGAAGTCGTAATAGTAGTTTTAGTTTAATATTACGCCAACGTTCAATCGAATTCCATTTCAAAATGGTTACGAATTTTAAACTGCTTGAGGAAATTTAAAGGATCCTAAGTAAATTCTTATCATCGATGGTAATGTTATTATTTCGTAAGTTAGAAAGCGAAAATTGGTCCGATGTATATCCCTGCGCTTGTCAATAGCTTGATTTAAAGTCGAGAAGTGTGACTGAGCGTATCTCTTATACGCAGCTGACGCCGTAAAAGTTTAAAGACCAAATCACTCGTTGTTGAAATAGACGTTCATTAAAATACAAATAGGGATTTAGACCAGATTTGTCTAAAAGTCTTTCTTCTTGCGTTCTTCGAACCATTTCAAAATTGACAAGCAGCATGAGCAGCTAATCCATTAGTCATCGCGAGAGAGATAGATTTTTCCTCGAATTTTCAATCCGTTCCAAACGACGACTCGATATCTCTATATACAGAGCAGTAACAGCCATCGTTTGGCGCTGAAACGAGTACTCGATCGGGCCGCGGTGCGGCGTGCGCAACGTTTTGCACTACTACATCAACAGTACAGTCACGCCTACACCGAGAGATCTTTTTGAACGCTGCTCGTGCGAGCACCAATACACACAGACATGACACACGCCGAGTGCTGACTGCCGACGCAACACAGGCCGAGCCGCCGTCGATTCCGTGGCGGCGGCAATTATATACATTCATTCAGACGCGCCGATGCCAGTCAGTCACTCGACGTCGTAGGACGCGTGAAGACATACTTGGCCGGAGCGTGCCAAAAGATGCAGTAGTCAGTTATCAACTACGCATGTAAGCAGCTCAATTGTTATCTGTTGCAGTATTACCCTTTTTATTGTGTAGACCATTGTAATTCAGAGTGTAAATGGTGTGATTACTCTTTTTGAATTTTTTAAACAGGATCTTGTTTCACGGGATCAGTGATATAGCAAAAAAGTGTATTGTGCATTACTTCGTGTGTATACTAGAGTGCTTGTGTCAAAAGTACGCGTTGATAATTTCGTGCTTAGCGTTTGAACCCCTATTTCACGACGGAGGCCAAAAAAGCTACTAAAACTGATCGAGGCAAGTTTTTTTTATGCATGATCAAAGGATCTTGAGGAAATTAACTTCGTTATTAACAGATCGAATCGCGTTAGAGGATACCTTCAAGTATGATTAAAGTAGTTTGCTTTAGCGGAGAACTCATATACGAACAGTATACATAGCAAAGAAGCAGCATACAGTAACGCGAATTAGTAAAAGAGAAAGAGAA